TTTTGGACTCTATTCTCTTCCATTGATTATATCCATCCTTTAGCCAGCACCACACTGTCTTAATTATTGTAACTTTATTATAATTCTTGAAATTAAGTAGTGTAAGTCCTCCAACTTTGTACCTCTTTTTCAAAATTGTTTTGGCTATTCTGTCATTTGCATTTCCATGTAACTTTTAGAATGAGATTTTCAATTTCTACAAAAAGGTCAAGATTTTGATTGAGATTTTATCAAATCTATAGATGTACACTCACCATTATAGTAGCCGCTAGTCATATTTGACTATTTAAATACAAATTTAAATTAATTAGGATTGATTAAAATTAAAATTGTAGTGCATTAGCCTTTTTCAAGTACCATTAGCCACATGAGGCTAGTAGCCACATGTCTAGTAGTGGACAGAGTTGATACAGAATATTTCAATAATCTCAGGAAGTTCTATTGGGCATTGTAGCTATAGGAAAAATCATATTTAAATACCATCTTAACAATTTTGAGGCTTCCACTTAATGGACATGATATATCTCTCCTTTTGTTTAGGTCTATAATTTCTCTTCATAGTGTTTTTATACTTTTCAGTATATAGATATAACAAAACATCTTTTATTAAATTTTTCTTCCTAAGTATTTTATTCTTTTCGTTGCTATTATGAAAGAAATGGCTTTTTATTTATTTATTTATTTATTTATTTTTTAAGATTTTCATTTATTTATTTCACAGAGATCACAAGTAGGCAGAGAGGCAGGCAGAGGGAGAGGAAGGGAAGCAGGCTCCCCGCTGAGCAGAGAGCCCGATGCGGGGCTCGATCCCAGGACTCTGGGATCACGACCCAAGCCGAAGGCAGAGGCTTTAACCTACTGAGCCACCCAGGTGCCCCGATATGGCTTTTTAAATTACATATTTTTAATAGTTCATTGATAATATGTAGAAATACAATTGATTTTTAAAAAAGATTTTATTTGACAGAGAGAGAGAGCATGCACAAGCAGGGGGAGCTAGAGAGGGAGAGAGAGAAGCAGATTCCCCTCTGAGCAGGGAGCACAATGCAGGACTTGATCCTAGGACCTTGGGATTGTGACCTGAGTTGAAGGCAGATGCTTAACTGACTGAGCCACCCAGGCGCCCCTACGGTTGATTTTTGTATCTGATCTTGTACCCTGTAACATTGCTAAACTTGTTTTTTTAAATTCTCTAGCTTTTTTGTATGTTTCTTAGGATTTTCTACAAAAAGATCTTGTTATCTGTGAATAAAGACAGATTTACTTCTTTTGCAACTCTGTGTGACATTACTCTTTTTCTTGGCTTACTGCACTGGCTAGAATCTTCAGTGTAATGTTAAATAGAAATAGTAAAAGTAAATATCCTTGCCTTCTTCTTATCTTAGTAGGAAAGCATTTAGTGTTTCTATTCAGTGATATGTTAGCTGTAGGTTTTTCATAGGTGCCCTTTATCAAGTAGAGGACCTTCCCTTCTCTTTCTAGTTTGCAGAAAGTTTTTACCACCAGTTAGGGTTGGATTTTGTCATATGCTTTTTTCTGCATCTATTGAGATGTCCATATGGCTTTTTTCCTTTATTGTACTAATATAGTATATTACATTACTTGATTTTCAGAGGTCAAACAAAATTTACATTTCTGGGATAGACCTCATTTGGTCATTATCCTATTTATAAATTCTGTCTTTAATTTGCCAATATTTTGATGATGATTTTGAGATGACTGTCATTAGGAATACTGGTTGTTGTTTGTCTTTGTCTACAATTGAATTTGAAAGCTTTCCCTCCTCATCTATATTCTGAAAGTCGAGATTCCTTCCCTGTCCTGAGTGACTGACAGAATTGACCAATGAAGCCATCTTTGAGCCTGGACTTTTCTTTGTGGGGAGATTTAAATTATTTATCAACTTCTTTGCGTGATATAGGTCTATTTAGATTTTCTGTTTCTCCAGTCACTTGAGGTAATTTGTCTCTTCCTAAAAAATTTGTCTTTTCAACTAAGTTGTCAAGTTTGTTTAAAGTTATTCATAATATTCCCTTATACTCCATTTAATTTCCCTTGGGATCCCTTCTTTCATTCCTGATTTTTGCAATTTGTGTTTTCTCTAACTTTTTTCTTTGTCTAGCCAGTGGTATATCAATTTTGTTCCTCTTGTCAATGAACCAGCTATTGGTTTCTTTGACATTTTCTATTGATTTTGTTTCTTATTTTATTTATTCCTGTATTGGCCTTCATTATTTATTCCTTAACACTTACTTTATATTTGATTCAATCCTTTTCCTAACTTCTTAAGATCAAAATTTTGGTTAGAAACTTTGATTTTAAACAGATAACCCTTTATAAATAAGCATTTAAAGCAATAAATTTTTTTCTAAGCAGGGCGTTAACTGCATCCCATAAATTTTGATATATTTTATTTGTATTTTCATTCAGTGCAAGAGATTTTATAATCTCCTATGTGATTTCATCTTTGATCCATAAGTTATGTAGAATTGTGATGCCTACTTTGTGTATATTTGGATATTTCCCATAATATTTTTGTTAATAATTTCTAATTATGTTGTAGTCAAAAGTTATTTTTATGATTTTATTCCTTTCATATTTACTGAGACTTGCTTTATAGCCTCACTGAATAGCCTGATGAATACCCCATGTGCAATTAAAACGACTGTATGCTGTTTTAAGATAAAGCATTTTATATATGTCACTTAGGTCAAATCAGTTGATAGTGTTGTTCACATCTTCTTTATTCTTACTGATTTTCTATCTACTTGTTTTACAAATTATTCAGAGAGGAATATTTAAATCTCCAAGCATAATTGTTGAACTGTTTATTCTTTTCTAAAAAAGTATTTATTTTGGAGCACCTGCGTGACTCAGTCATTAAGCATCTGCCTTCAGCTAAGGTAATGATCCCAGGGTCCTGGGATCGAGCCCCACGTTGGGCTCCCTGCTCAGCAGGAAGTCTGCTTCTCCCTCTCCCACTCCCCCTGCTTGTGTTCTGTCTCTTGCTGTCTCTCTGTCAAATGAATAAAATCTTAAAAAAAAAAAAAAAACTTATTTGTTGAGGGGGGAGAGAGAGAGAGAGAGAAAGCATGAATGAGTACAGGGGGAGGGAGAGAGAGAGAGTTATAAGCAGACTCCATGCTGAGCATGGAGCCTGCATGGGGCTTAGTCTCACGACCCTGAGATCATGACTTGAGCCAATATCAAGAGTCCACCACTTAACCAACTGTGCCACCCAGGTGCTCCTGAACTGTTTATTCTTATTTCAGTTCTGTCAGTTTTTACATGAATTTGTAGTCTCTTTGTTAGGGACAAGCACATTTATAATTTTTTAGTGTGTTGACTTAATGTATATCCCAGTAAAATATACCTCTTTTCTTTTTTTTAAGATTTTATTTTATTTTTTTTTTAAGATTTTATTTATTTATTTGACAGAGAGAGATCACAAGCAGGCAGAGAGGCAGGCAGAGAGAGAGGAGGAAGCAGGCTCCCCGCTGAGCAGAGAGCCCGATGCGGGGCTCGATCCCAGGACCCTGAGATCATGACCCGAGCCGAAGGCAGCGGCTTAACCCACTGAGCCACCCAGGCGCCCCAAGATTTTATTTATTTATTTGACAGACAGAGATCACAAGCAGGCTGAGTGGCAGGTGGGGCGGGGGGAAGCAGGCTCCCTGCTGAGCAGAGAGCTTGATGCAGGGCTCGACCCAGGACACTGGGATCATGACCTGAGCCGAAGGCAGAGGCTTTAACCCACTGAGCTATCCAGGTGCCCCCAAAATGTATCTCTTTTCTTTACTAATAGTCCTATTTTGTCTAATATTAATATAGCCACTCTAGTTCTCTTATTAAACTTTATGTGGTATAACTTTTTCAACCTCTTTTTGTCTTTGACTTTGTAGTTCCTCTCTTACAGACTGCATATATCTTATCTTTTATTATTATTATTTTTTAAAGAGGTAATTTATTTGAGAGAGAGTGCATGTGTGCATGAATGGGGGGAAGAAGTGGAGAGGGAGAGGGAGCAGCAGACTCCCCATTGAGCAGGGAGCCTGACTCAGGGCTGAATTCCAGGATCCTGAGATCATGACTGGAACCAAATTCAGACACTTAACCAACTGAGCCACCCTGGCACCCCTGTTCCTTTGCTTTTTAAATCTATTTTGACAATCTCTGCCTTTGATTACAATGTTTATCCCATTAACATTTAATGTAATTATTGCTATAGTTGAATTTAGGGCTGCCATTTTGTTATTTGTTTCTGTATCTATTTCTTATTTCTCCCTCTTTTCCTCTTTCACTGTCTTTTAGGCTTACCAAATTCTGATTATTACACTGTTTTAATTCCCCTGTTAACTTTTAAATTATATGTCTTTAATTTTTTTCTGTATGTATGTTTGCACTAAAGATAACAATATGGAACTTTTAAATTATGATGAGTAACTTAAGCTAGTACTGATTTAAATCCAGTGAGACTGCAATTTTGCTCTCATACCTCAAAGAGCAGCATTCATGAATTGTGTCATCAGGAAACTTGTACCATGGATGTACTGTTTGTGGTCAAATAAGTTTGAGAAATGGTACATATCTCCCTTGTGTATATCTACAATGTAGATTAGTATATTAAAAAGCTCTCAGAAGCCTTGTTGAAAAAAATCTGCTTCATTTTCTTTGAAGGAAGGGTTTCCCAAAGTATTTGACTACAGAATCTTCCTTTTCTTTTATGTATCAGACTACCTACAGAAATAGTGTTCCACATAACTCACTTTGACAAACACCGGTCAAGCAAACAATAGAAATGAAATACAGTCAACTTATTTTTAATTCTTCATTAAGAAATATTGTGTTTCTGAAATAAAATGAAAATAAGTGTCATCCTTCTGGACCTCTTTGAAACCAACTGCTGATTCTTTTCAATCAACTACTGTTTTTTTTATTCTTTAAGTGATTGAAGTCGAGTATACAACATGTTTATCGGTAAACTCTGTTTCTATTTGTAGGTGATGTGATAAACCTTGGTGACAGACAGCTCACTGTTATGCACATGCCTGGTCACTCCAGGGGCAGTATTTGCTTACATGACAAAGACCGGAAGATTCTTTTCAGTGGAGACGTTGTGTATGATGGATCACTGATTGACTGGCTCCCATACAGCAGGATAAGTGACTATGTTGGAACATGTGAACGTCTGATAGAATTAGTGGACAGAGGTCTGGTAGAGAAGGTGCTTCCTGGGCACTTCAATACCTTTGGTGCCGAAAGGCTTTTTCGATTGGCTTCTAACTATATTTCAAAAGCTGGGATATGTCACAAAGTTTCCACTTTTGCCATGCGATCTCTTGCAAGTTTAGCCTTACGTGTAACAAATTCTAGGACCTCACCTTAGTATCTATACTGATAACCTATTGTGATTAGTTCTATAAATTAATCCAATTCATTTTGTGCTGTTTAAAATGATTAATAGTGAGCATTTCAAGAAGTGCTTTATTAGAGAAAAAAGATTGAGAATGAGTAAGCCAAAAAAGGAGGTTCTTTGTTTAAATTATTTCCTTCTTCTAAATAAGAAATCACTTAAAGAAGCTCATAATTTGCCAAGCTGTCATCTTGTAATATTTGTCACCTTGTAATATCCAGAAATGACATAGAAATCTATGCGAAAACAAGGAGGCATTTTGCAGTAACAGAAAGAACCCTCCTTGCCTCCCATTTGTTTTATTTTATTTCCTAGATGACCTAGAAAAAGAGGCATAAACTTTTATGTTTATAATCCAAACTTGATATTTTTAGTATATTATTTAAAGGTAAAGGTTCTTGAGTTTAAAATACATTAGTAATCAATACAAACATATAAATTATTATTTAAAATGACAGCTAAAACAGTCCATTGTTATGGCACAGAATTTTTATGCTTCATTTATTTATTCTTAATGTAATTACAGTGTACATTATATGTTGTGTAATTTTACTTACAAAGAGTACAATGAATTTTGTTTATTGCAAAGCTTTAAATATAACTTGCAGAGTGCTTCAGTAAAAAGCTACTAATAGCATTGTTTATTATGTGAGTGTAACATTTTCAATCATAAAAGTGAGATTCAAATGTCTGTAATCTAATTACAAATTGTCAGATTTCTCAAAAGGACACTGTCAGGCAAATTTGAAAATATACACATTGAAAATATTTTTTATTATATCCTATTTTAATATTAACAGCTATTATAAACAAAATTTTTCTTGTTAAATAGCTTCAGTATATGTCATATTTTATAGTATCAGAACAATTATAGAGATCTACAACATCCTGATAGAAATCATTCTTTTATTTACCATAACATACATATGTACCGCAGAAGGCTTTTCAGATTAATTGCAAAATATGCATTAGATATTGACTTAGAATGAATTGCCTTTTTTATCCTGATTCACAACACCTATTCCTGTTCAGTATTCTTTGTCTTGAATGAAAAGAAGTCTACATTTATAAAGTTATAGGAAAGGTTTGCCCACTATTTAGTAAAACATTTTGGTTTGGTGCTCTTTATAATTTATTAAAAAGCCTTTTGGAATATTTCATAAAGGTTTTTTAAACAGTTTTTTCACTGCCTTTTTATTATTTACATGTCCAAAACCAAACTGAGATAGCTTTGGAAACCAGGTTTTTTAGTATTAAGAAGGTTTAGCAACTTTTATTTGCAAAAAATTGTGAAATGTTCCCACCCTCCACCCACCCAGGTTCTTTAGTCTTTTATTCATTCAACACATGCACACCCACACATTCCACACGCATACACACAGTCACATACATATATACTTGCACAGTATTGTGCTAAACACTGTGGAAGCTTAAAAAGTCAAAGAGACTACATCTTAGCTAGAAGTAGAAGGCAAACAAAACATGAATAATAATATATGCAGGTTGAAGCTAATACAAATTACACAATAGTATCAGGGACATAAGTGGAGGGATGTGGAGTTTGGTTAGGAAAAGATTCCTGAAGGAGGGGTTTTTCAGTCCCATTTGGAAAGTCGATTTGGTAGGTGGTCAGGGTAGGGGACAAAAGATCCAAGAATAGGGATGGAAGCATTGCTGTCTAAAGTAGGCTATTCCTTGTGACAATTTAAATTTAATTTTCAGGAATCTTAGATCTTCCAAACACCAAGAATTTAGCATGAGAAAGGTGGGTTTGTGATTGTGTATATAAGAATCATCCTCAGTGACAGACAAGCTATACTGCCACATGCCACCAAATGGATCTTCTCATTCAAGGCAGTTGGTCTGTTTCAGTTGATAGTACAACATCAAAGATACAGATTTGGTTCAGGGCAACTACAATCACTTAATAAGCCTTAAATATAGCCATTATTTTTATATCAGTAGCACAAAAAAACAAAAACAAAAACAAAACCAAAAGTCCTTAACCATTGACCATTTTATCATACTTTAGGACTTAAAAAAAAAATCAGGGTATAGTAGGCACTAAGTTTTATTGAGAAATATTTAAACCCGATGAAGGCTTTCTTTATTTCTTAAAAGTACAATTTTTCAAAACATGTTAATTTTATTTTTAAATTTCCATTTTTTTTACATTATATAAAAACATAAGACTGGTATTTTGCTTTTGTTTCAGTGTGAATAAATTGGGGAAAGGATCTATCATTCATTTAGTGCCCATGCTATGCATTTTAAAATATGCATTATTTAGTTTAATCCTGGCCCCAGTGCCAGAAGTAATTGGCCAGCCTCATACAACATAACTTTGAACAAAGCTGGTAATGGAACACAGGTCTGTCTGCCTCCCAAACTGTGCTCTTTCTCTTTACCTGCACAAATAACATAAAATTGGCAAAATGTATTTTTACTTTCCCAGAAGCCACATGTGCCAAGAATAAATCAAGTGATGTTAAGCATAATAATAGCATATTTTAAAAGAAGCTTTAAAAAATATATTTTCACCCTGACAGTGACCCGTGTTATAATTTATGGTTTTTGGAACTAAGAGTATGTAAGTATAATTCAAAATTGTCAAAATGTAAGACAAATTTTATTTGTATTGTTAATAACTTAATCTTGGAAATTCATCTTCCTTATATGGTGTTTCCTTTTAACTAAGAAGTCTAAACTAACAAAAACCTTGTGTGTTATCCTGATATAGTTGAATGAATGATTATGTGTAGTACTTATATGATAGTAATATAATTGTGACATGCACAAATTGTCTTCATATAATTTTCAGATATGTGTAAGTAAACATTTGTGTGATAAATATTAAAGTGAACATTTTATTTCAATCTCTAGTTGGTTCTTTTTCTAATATTAGCAAATTCCCATTTAATTTCTTACAAGGATATTTCTTACGTGAAGTGCAGTTTTAAAAATGTGTAGTAAGTAAGATATCAAATCTGTGAGCAAGACTAGGGAATCCAGAAACCGAAAATGCCCATATAAACTTTTGTAGTTAATAAATATGGCATTTTAAATCAATGGATGAAAGATGAATTATTCAGTATGTATCCCAATTGTTCATATGGGGGAAAAAAGGCCCTTAACAGCATAAAAATAAATTCTACATGGATTAAAGACCATAATTTGAAAAATGAAACCACATGTGTATTAAAAGAAAATTTAAATCATGTTTAAGACATTAGGATTGGGAAAATCTTTATATAGAAACAAAAAGCAAGATAATATCAAAATTTAAAATGTCCTAGAACTTGGATGCCAGAAAATGAAAAAGATAAATTAGAAGAAAATATTCACAAATTGTAGAACAGCAATTTTTGTTTTAACAACTATAAAGAATGCCTACAAATCAGTTTAAAAAAAGGTCAACTACTATAAGGGAGGGAAGACCTTTCCTCTACCCTCAGGTTCTGTGGCTGGGCCAGAGGATTAAACTTAAAAAAGTTTAAGTTTCAGAAAGTTGGGAGCAAAGCATACAACTTTTATTTGATGTTAATATTTTTATGTGTATGGTGAGGCTTTTATATATAAGAAAAGAAAACCCAAAGAAGTGAATAGGATTAAGAGTTTACATACCATTTTAACAAAGAACAATAAATTGGGGAGACTGACGAGACAGGAAAAGAGGGTTTGGACAAGGCTTGGTAAACTGTGGGAAAATGACTAAGGAATAGATGAGGGAAACTAAGGAAAGACAAGGGTTCTTCTAGAAGGATTATTGATACAGATTAATCTTGGTGTCAACTCCCTGTCTCCAGTGATAAGAATGTTCTCTTCTTCCTGATACCAGGGAGGGGACCTTCTTTAGGGGAAATTGTATGCCCTGTTTTAGGTAGAAAGGGAAAGGTCAAAGAGCTCTTCTTGTATCTGTTTTTTCTCACTTGGTTTCAGATCAATCAGTATGCCAAACTGGCATATTTTAAGGTGGCACGTTCTTTTCCCCTTTACTACCTATTACAAAAATGGATAAATTATATGAACAGGTCATTCACAGAAGAGGCAACACAATGGTCAATAAACATACAGAATTATGCCGAACTTCAGCATAATCAGGGAAATGCAAATTTAAATAATAAGACAGTTTACTCTAACCAGATGGGGAGATTTTGAGAATATGGAATATTGCCAAGGGTAAGGGTAAGTGGATATTTTCATGCCGTGCTGCTAAAAGTATAAAATTTAGGGAGGGGGCATTTGGAGTGTGATGTGGCACATTCTGATTTTGGGTTAAGCATTGTAGATTGTAGAGCATACACCTTTACCTCTGCTCCTTTCTGAAACTTGATCAAAATGACAGGAAAATCATTTTTTTACTGAACAAAACTCAAGAACATCAAAAATGGAAAAGGAGAGAACCATATCAACATTTTGACCCTGAACAGCTGATAGATGAATGAAAATGAATTTGGTAAACCCAAGAAGGCAGAAAATAAGAATAAGGAAATCTGAGAAGCGATCTTATTACACTAGTCCCCCTCCTTGACCCCGCAAAGGCTTAGATAGATACTAGGTACCTCTAGGAGTTGTGGTAAAGGTCTTTTTTATTTAAATTGTTTGCAGTTTAGACCACCAAATCCCTCCCTAAATACACTACCAAGCAATTTCCTCTCCCCAACCTCAAGGAAAATTGGAGGTTATTTTAGATCTACCATGAAGTTAAGTAATATGTAGGTTTAGGGCCTAGCACTTGCTTGGGCCCCTGCCATGGACCTGAGAGGGGCCCAAGAAATGTGTTCAGATGTCATTTTGTTTGTTTGTTTTAATTTGCAAAGCTTAATTATTTTTTGTTCCATCTCTCAAAGCCCCCAAATCACGTGTTTCAGATCCCACAGAACTGGAACTTGCTCCTGACTCTAGGATTATTGTGTGGAGAAGGTAAAGCAGGATCTCTGTTGAGAGGAAAACGGACCTTGTCGAATTGGAGTCCTATATTGAAAACAGAGGGATTTAGCAAAGGCTTATGTACAGTGAAAGGTTGCATACTTAAAGTTCACGGTCCCGGAGAGTCTTCCAGCCTAGCTCCAGGGGTGTTGGCAGTTATTGGTGACAATACTGTCCTCCAGGCAAGAGACTGAAAGACATTTTTCTTAGAAATTTGACACCTAAAAGACCTAATGATACTGAATCTGGGGTCCCCAAAGAAAGGGCCCGGTGAAATTACCTTACAGTCTAGTGCACAATTGCAGGGCCTCCCTTCCCTGCCTCTCCTACACAACCTCTAAAGTGTTCTAATCTTTTTTTTAATTTAATTTTTATGTTTTAAAAGACTTTATTTATTTGAGATAAAGAGAGAGCACACACAAGTGGGGGAGAGGGGCAAGGGAGAAGTAGACTGCCCACCAAGCAGGGTGCCCAATGCAGGGCTCGATCCCAAGATCATGACCTGAGCCAACAGCAGTTAACTGACTGAGCCACCTAGGCACCCCTCAAGTGTTCTTTTCTTAAGTTTAAATATATACACCAAAGCCAGCATCTTGTGGAAAAACCAAAAGAATAAATGGAAATAAATGCAAAAAACACTTAAAGCAGTAGGAGAATTTAACAAAATAGCAGTATATGAAATGAACACTAAAAACCTATCAATTTCACCAAACAAGGCATACAGATGGCAATTAAGCAACTAAGTTGTTCTTCGATAGGTGAATGGATAATTGTGGTACATCTAGACAATGGAATGAGCTATCAAGTCATGAAAAGATATGGAGGAAACATAAATGTCTATTA